ACTGCATTGAAGATTTTTACCGAAACTTATTAGTTCCTCTGTTCCATTATGTATGACACTGTTTCCTTTTTAGTTTGTTCTTGAAAGAACGACCATTCTATTTTTGGGAACCCTTTAATGTCATGCTCTCACGGCCACAAAAATCCATGGCATGTTTAAGGCCACAAGTTCCAATTGTACTTTTGGTGTGTAGCAAAAATCTTTCTTTCTTTCTTATAATCCATGCCTAGTCAAACACAATATAAATTAGAACGAATGGAGTATATATAAGCAAGCATTAGTAAATCTCGTGAAGTTGGTTTTCTAGATCTACAGCAGAGTAATCAGCACCTGCGTATTGTTCTTGTTTTTGTTTATGTGATTTGACTCATATTCGTTTGTTGCAACAGGTTTGCTGGTAGGCAAATCCATGCTAGTGAGGATGATGGATCTGTTAACCATGCTTTAGTCCGAGATATAGATGAAGAAACTGATAGATTGGAGAAGTTTGGAGCTGAACTTGAAGCTGATTCATAGATGTGCCTTCTGCATGTGGAAATAGTAGCAACACTTATTTTTGCTTGCTATACATCCCATATGTCTATGCAACTCTTTGAATACGAATCCGTTTTCTGAAAGATTCTGACTGCCATACTTTAGTGAGAACTCCAATGTCTTGCAAAAAGTGGTGATAGGCGCTGACCTCGTGGCATGCCAACTAGATTTGTCATCGCAAGTAATGGGTCATCTCCTAGTTTTCTTTGGAGTACATGTAACATGATCAATTGGAATGAGAAAATAGTCTTTTCTTGGTGAAGTGGAGTAGAACTTTCTCTAGCACTTTAACTTTCGGAACGTGACGTGCTTTGTAAGTATCGTAGCTACAAAAAATTGTTTGATGATCACTTGTTTTCACTTTCTTTTGTTGTTATGTTCCGTTCCTTTGACCTTGCACGATAGGAGTAAGTTCTGTATACATCGTACATCTGTTCAAACTTCATTTTGTTGGATTATCATGGATATGTTGTTTGTCATTTTATGTAGACTTATATGGTGTACTTTCTAAGGAATGTACTTTTATTTTTAAAAATGTTAAATTCCTGCAGGGTACTTGACATTATGTTAAGATAATTCCTGTGCCCCTAACCGAGTCCTGGTTTGAATCTCCGGTGGAAAGATTTGAGATACCTTCTCCTACTCTGTGAAGTTACGGAGTCTTTGGTCTCATATTAAGCCGGGACATCATTTCACTCTCTTAACGGAAATGAATGCACCGTAAGACCAGACAAAGTTGCTCACTCGCCTCTGTGAGGCGCCATCTGTCTTTTAAGTTAATTATTTTCTAAGATAACTCCTCTTATTCTACAATAATCCAAGCTACAACAGCACCTCATGAACACTCATATTTTTGTTAATTAAAGATTATCTATGTTTAGCTAAACATTAACAATTAGACCAAAAGTGTCATTATCATTTTTTTAAATGAAAATTTCAAAAAAGTCAAAAAGAGATTCTAATAATTTCCTCTTTTCCCCACACAACGGTCATATACCAATCAAACTCACAAAATATGACCGTTGCACCCCACCCCCCTTTCTCCCCCTCACCCCAACTCCTCCACCTATATAACCAAAACTCCTCATCCTCTGTTCTTCACTTCACTAACAAAAAACTCAAAAACTTCTCTGAAAATCTCTTCAATTCAAAAATGGGGTTCACTAGTTATGCAGAAATCTCCGAATCCCTTCATCGTACTCGAAAATTCTTCCTTTTATGTAACTACATTCTTCTTGGTGCAGCTTCCAGCTGCATTTTCTTGACTCTTTCTCTTCGTCTTATCCCCTCGTTATGCGGTTTCTTCCTCATCCTCCTCCACATTATCACAATTGGGGGTGCTGTTTTTGGGTGCTCTGCTGTTTCTACTCGTTCGAGTATGGGGAATTGGTATGGCCCTCATATGGTATTTACAGTTTTGACAGCGATTTTACAGGGCTCTGTTTTCGTGCTGATATTTACGAGAACAGGGGATTTTCTTGGGAAATTGAAATCGTATGTTAGGGAAGAAGATGGTGAAATGATTTTGCGATTAGCGGGTGGATTATGTGCATTAATCTTTTGTCTTGAATGGGTTGTGCTTACATTTGCTTTTTTCTTGAAATATTATGCTTATGTTGAAGGAGATGGTAATGTTGTTGGTGGATCAATTGCTATGAAAAGAAGTGCTAAAGTTCAAGATGAAGAAGATATCAAGAATTGGCCATGGCCTTTTCAAGTCTAAGTTGATCTTTTCTTGGAGGTGATTTGTGGGGGGTGGGGGTAAAAGCTATATGTATCATAGCTTCTCAATGATTTGTTCATTCATTTGGTTATTTTCTTTTGTTGGGGTAGGGGATGGGGGTGGGGTGTAATGTATGTTGAGTGTTTCTTATTGGTTCTATCATATATATATACAAATATATGTTCTTATTGAGGAAATTGAATTGAATTAGTGATTGTTGTTGAGCCCATTTATTCAAGTATTTTATTAAAAAAACGTAATTGGTCTTGGCCCTCTTGCTAGAAAAAATATGTTCATCGAGATATCATATTGCATTTCTATAGCGTATGTTAGCGATTTTGATCAATTTGATTCATTCTATTAAGAAAAACATAATACTTATAAATGAAGCAAATTAGCTCCATATATACAATATTATGTGTTTCTTATTGGTCCTAACTTCTAAACATCTTTTGTATTGAGGAAATTGAATCGAAAATTAATGATTGACGTTAAGCTTATTTATTCGAGTAATTTCTTAAAAACAAAACAAAATTGGTCTGGGTCCATGTGGTTTGCTTTCCTAAATTGTATGCACTTCAATCAATTTGATTCATTCTATCTATTACAAGACAGATCCTTATAATTGAAGCAAATTAGCTCTAATGATTGTCGTTGAGCACATTTATTCGATTAATTTCTTATATTGACGTTAAGCTTATTTATTCGAGTAATTTCTTAAAAACAAAACAAAATTGGTCTGGGTCCATGTGGTTTGCTTTCCTAAATTGTATGCACTTCAATCAATTTGATTCATTCTATCTATTACAAGACAGATCCTTATAATTGAAGCAAATTAGCTCTAATGATTGTCGTTGAGCACATTTATTCGATTAATTTCTTATTAAAAAATGAAATTTGTCTGGCCTCTTACGGGGGGAGTTTAATATGTTCATTCAGATATCATGTGATTATTTTCCAAAACGTATGCTACGACTTAATTCATTCTATTAAAAAGTAAATTCCGATAACAGAAACAAATTAGCTCCATTTTTCTTTTTAGTGTTAATTCAATTTTTTGAGATTAACATGTTTTAAATTTATGAATTATTAAAGAAATATGAGTTTGACCACTTTCTAAGAATGATATATTCAATAAGATTTTTATCATGGTTACTTTATAATCCAGCTAATTATGCACTGGAATTAAAATAAAACAGAGTTATTATCTAGAGGCTAGAGCATGTGGTCATACTCTTTTTTTTTTATTGACTATAATATTACACTTACTTTCCTTTTTTTTATTTGTTAATAATTCTTTTAACTTATTCATTTTGAATAAGTAAATTACAATTTGACTAATTTACCCTTGTTAATTTAACCTCTTTTCGTTAATTGATTTTAATTATTATTTTTCTGATTGTTAATTTTTTTTACTTTTAAATAAACAAATTATGTGAATCAAGTTGACTCTGTAAGGGCCATGGGTTAAAATTGACGAAGAGACTGATTTAGTTGGGATTATTTGGCCGAGTAAAGTGGGTAGAGAGAGAGAAAATCTGGTAGCGGAACTTTTTTCCATTGATGAAGATAAGGTGTTCGACGAAATGTCACAGACAACAGTGAGTTCTGAAATTCTTGTTCTTAACACAGTTGTCCACGAGGTAGAAATGTAGCTTTGTTTGATAAATGTCCTAAACGGGATACATGAGGTTTTCTAGTTCGTTTTCCTAGCTAAAGTACTGTAATGTTGAATGTGAGTATGTGAATTGCTGCAATTGAATATATCCATTTGATGGTGTCTTATGACATCACACTATTCCTTGTTTGTATAGTTTTCTTGAAGAAATGTGTGGGGTAGTAAACAAACTAGAGTGTTGCCTTACCTTGACTTTAGGTTACTTAAATGCAATTGGGTTGATACTGGGTAGGAGCTATGTTGCTCGCTCTTCAAAAATGTTGACGGGTGTGTGTTGGATTCTCCAAAAATACTGCATTTTGGAGAATCTGACATGGGTGTGGCAACAATTTTTGGAGAGTCTGAGCAACATAGGGTAGGAGTGGAATCTTCTTAGTTCCTTGTCGTCTAACTCGAGAAGGTGTGCTAGTGAGGAGAAAATATAGGAAGTACTCCAGGCAATTGTTGTAAGTTCCTCCAAGCAGTCACCATATACTCGAGAAGGTGTGCTAGTGAGGAGTAAATTCAGGAAGTACTCCAGACAATTGTTGTTAGTTCCTCCAAGCAGTCACCATATACTCAAGCTGTTAGGCTTTTGTTTGCTATGTTTGGTCTAGTCCATAAAGCTAGGCTTGCTTCGTTGTATATTGTCTTCGACGTTGTGATTTGCTCCCATGTTTTATGTGTTTTTGTGATTTTAAAAAAAAAAATATGTTTTCGTGATTTTCTGCATTTTAGGCGCGTCTGTATCTGAGATACAGCTTGCGGTGTGTCTGATACACTGTAATGCGGAGGAAAGTGTCGGCAGGTTCAGTAAATATGGAAAGTATCGTTGTGTATGGTTAATAGGCTCCAAACTATAGCTTTTTTTGAAATTTCTCAGAGGTAAAACATAGATATTATTAATTTCATTTGATGACACTTGCTCTGTAGTTAGCACCCAACAAGGGAGAGGAATAAAGGTTGGGAAATTGTCATGTCAGGGACACCTTTTAATGCTTTAAGTTTGCCCTTTTCCCTTACTGTGATTTTATGGCCTTCCTCCTTAACTGTCATTTTTAAGTTATAGCTCATGAGGTCTTTGAAATGAACTGTTTTGAACATAAGTCTGCTTCTGCTAATTACAGGGAATTTGGAAATGTGAAGAAGGCATTCACTCCTCCACGAGAGGTGCATGTTCAAGTAACCCATTCCATGCGCGATTGGGCTTCACAGAATCTCTTGATGCACCTAAAGCCTGTCGAGAAATGTTGGCAGCCTACTGATTTTCTTCCTGATCCTGCTTCTGAGGGATTTGATGAGCAGGTCAAGGAGCTAAGGGAAAGGTGTAAGGAAATTCCTGATGACTACTTTCTTGTATTAATTGGGGATATGATCACAGAGGAGGCCCTTCCAACTTATCAGACCATGATAAACACCCTAGTTGGTGTTCGTGATGGAACTGGTGCCAGCCTCACTCCTTGGGCTATTTGGACTAGGGCATGGACAGCGGAGGAAAATGGGCATGGTGATCTTCTCAACAAATACTTTATCTCTCTGGAAGAGTTGATTTGAAGCAAATTGAAAAGACAATCCAGTACCTAATTGGTTCTGGGATGGTAAGATTTTTACAAGACCTTATGTTAAAGAGTGCAGCTTTGAGCAAGTGTTATACTGTCTCTCTATGTATCTGCATTTGGCATATCCCATGCTGTCATAAGATTTCTGATTTTTCTCCCAAGTTAGTTCAGATGTCAAATTACGAAAAGTTTCTAATCGTATGAAAACTTGTAAATGGGATGGTTCCTCAAATACAAAATAGATGAAAACTTGTTTTTAATTGTACTTGCACCTTGAATTTTGTTTTCCTTAAGTCAAAGAAATTCTAATCTTTCTTCCTCTATATTCAAATTGTAAATAACTATATGACCATTTCCTTGTTCCAAATAGCCCCACCTAGGTTTAGTGCAAATACAGCAGGATAAGCTACGTATAATAGAATAGACTCTTGTTGTCCAACTCTTCCCTGACCCCTGCTATGCGGGAGCTTAGTGCACATGGTTGAGTGACCAAGGAGAAGAGAGATAGCATCCCGACTGGCTAGGACTGCCCCTCTTAAAGCATTTATATCCTAGATTCATCCATCTAACAAGTCATATATAAAATGCATAATCTTGACTTAGACAGGGAGATAAAAGAAAAAAGGGTACCAAAAGGTTCGTCTTTATTGCTAATAACTATGCTTTTTCCTATGGCCTAAACACAATTGCAAAAACAAAAACCAAGGCTCTAGTGACGTAGCTTTAAACTCCCCTGCACAGACTTCATACCATACTCTCAAAGTTTCTCAACATAAATCAATGGCAAATTTAATGATCAGAATTACCCTCCAACACAAGTGCATTCATCTCTTAATCTCTTTCCTCCAATTTTCTAATCCGCGGAGCCAGTCCACATACATAATCTTGTGCTCTGCGTCCTTCACCAGAAAGATGCAGTATAAAAAGAAGTCCACTAGCACCGGAATCTTCCTCAAAAAGAGGCAGCAAGAGTAGTATGAGTACAAAATCATGCGTACTCCATAGGCATCATAGGCCTACCAACCAGAGTTAATAACTATAACGTACAGAGGATGTTATAAACTCTGCACTCAGAAAATGTCCCTGCAGTTCAATATAAGACGGTCAGTAAGAAGCAATGCAAAGCAAAACAATAATAAAAATGCAACACAATGCTATGCAATATAATGCAATGGCTAATGACCCTACTAGCATACACTCCACAGACAATGTTGTGAGGTGGGACCCATGAGGGACTCGTGAGGTCCATATACCCTGCTTGGACTCGAACCAGGACTTTCGGCAATATAGTCTGTCCGATTCAATAAATTTACTTTCAAGTCAAGCCCTTAGACCACATTTCACCACTTTAAGCATATTGCTTTCAATACAATGCCCATCTTGCCAAATCAACCCCTCATATGTGATAAAATGCGCAAAATTGAGTAAAACTCGACAATGATGTAACAAGTCATAAAATAAGTCATCACCCGAGTTAAGTTTGAGAAAAGTAAGTAATAACCTACCTTGAAAGCCGAGCAATGTGCCACACATACGTGCACATAGACATATATTTAAAGTACTTCTCTTAGTAGCATCACAGTTCAATTTTCTAAGGGAGGAATTTTATCCTTGATAGCAACGCAGGAATTCTTCATAACTGTTAGAGTACTAAATCCATCAACTCAAAATCCCTATTGTTATTGTCACCACTCAATGATGGTCCCCCCTACTTAATTTCACTTCTGGAGGATCAATACTGGTGGTGAGGAGGTGAAAATAGAGATTAAAAATGATGAGATGAAAGTGAAGAATATATCGGAAAATAGTTTTGTTGGAAAGTTGGAGGAAATCACGCCGTTAGAAGTGAAGGACTATGAGGAGTTGGGGTTGATAATAGAACTCGAAGAATTAGGTGAAAGTAGTTTTGACTACTTTCCCCTAATTCCTCCAATTCTACAATCAATCCCAACTCTTCATAGTTTTATCCAGCCTCACTCCCTGGGCTATTTGAACTAGACCATGGACAGCAGAGGAAAATAGGCATGGTGATCTTCTCAACAAATATCTTTATCTTTCTGTAAGAGTTGATATGAAGCATATTGAAAAGACAATCCATTACCTAATTGGTTCTGGGATGGTAAGATTTTAACCAGACCTTCTGTTATCATGTAGGTTTGCTGAGGTTTATAATAAATAGTGCAGCTTTTAGAAAGTGTTATCTGTCTCTGTCCATCTGCATTTGGCTCCAACAAACGTTGGTTACATTTCTTTGAGTTGTTTGTACCAGTAACTGGTTTATGAATGAGTGCTCTTGGAATATCCCATGACTAAGTGACCATTTCCTAGTTCCAAAAAGCTCAGGTTAGTGCAAATATAGCAGAATAAGCTATGTATAATTGACCCTTCCGACCCTTCCCCGGATTAGCACATAGAGGAAGCCCCATTTAAGAGTTCATGTCCTAGATTCATCCATCTAATAAGTCATGTATAAAATGCATAATCTTGACTTGAAAAGGAGATTAAAAAAAAGGTTCATATTTATTGCTAAGAACTGTGTTTTTCCCTATGGCCTAAACACAATTGCAAAATTTTATACAAATCTAGTGAAGTAGGTTTAAACTCCACTGCACAGATTTCATACCATACCCTCAAAGTTTCTTAATACAAATCTATGGAAAATTTAATGTTCAGAATTGCCCTCCAACACAAGTGCATTCATCTCTTAATCTCTTTCCTCCAATTTTCTAATCCGCGGAGCCAGTCCACATACATAATCTTGTGCTCTGCGTCCTTCACCAGAAAGATGCAGTATAAAAAGAAGTCCACTAGCACCGGAATCTTCCTCAAAAAGAGGCAGCAAGAGTAGTATGAGTACAAAATCATGCGTACTCCATAGGCATCATAGGCCTACCAACCAGAGTTAATAACTATAACGTACAGAGGATGTTATAAACTCTGCACTCAGAAAATGTCCCTGCAGTTCAGTATAAGATAGTCAATAAGAAGCAACGCAAAGCAAAACAATAATAAAAATGCAACGCAATATGATGCAATGCTAATGACCCTACTAACATACACTCCACAGGAAATGTTGTGAGGTGGGACCCATGAGGGACTTGTGAGGTCCATATACCCTACCTGGACTCGAACCAAGACTTTCGTCAATATAGTCTGTCCGATTCAATAAATTTACTTTCAAGCCAAGCCCTTAGACCACATTTCACCACTATAAGCATATTGCTTTCAATACAATATCAATCTTGACAAATCAACCCCTCATATGTGATAAAATACCCGAAATTGAGTAAAACTTGGCAATGATGTAATTTCAAGTCATCACCCGAGTTAAGTTTGAGAACAGTAAGCAATAACCTACCTTGAAAGCCGAGCAACGTGCCACACATAAATGCACATAGACATATATTTAAAGTACTTCTCTTATTAGCATCACGGCTCAATTATAAGGGAGGAATTTTATCCTTGATAGCAACGCAGGAACTCTTCATAACTGTTAGGGTACCGAATCCCATCAGCTCAAAATCCCTATTGTCATTGTCACCACTCAATGATGGTCCCTCCCCCCTACTTAATTTCACTTCTGGAGGATCAATACCGGTGGTGATGAGGTGAAAGTAGAGATTAAAAATGTTGAGGAGGAAATGAAGAATATATCAGAAAATAATTCTGTTGGAAAGTTTGAGGAAATCACGTCGTTAGACGTAAAGGACTATGAAGACCTGGGGTTGATAATAGAACTAGAGGAATTAGGAGAAAGTAGCTTTGAAAATTCTAGCATAGATTTTAATGTACCATATAATGTGTACAACACTAGCATTTTCAAAATTACTTGTCCCTAATTCCTCCAACTCTACAATCAATCCCAACTCCTCATAGTCTTTCACGTCTAACGACGTGATTTCTTCCAACTTTTCAATAGAACTATTTTTTGATATATCTTCACTTCCTCCTCAACATTTTTAATATCTACTCTCACCTCATCACCACCAGTATTGATCCTCCAGAAGTGAAATTAAGTGGGGGCAGGGGGAACCATCATTGAGTGGTGACAATAACAATAGGGATTTTGAGATGATTGAATGGATTTGGTACCCTAACAATTACGGAGAGTTGCTGCGGATCATCAGTGTTTTTCTTTCTTTTGAGAAAATTGAATATCAAATATTTTGATTTGGGATATGGAAGTAGATGAAATTGAATTGGAAAGAAAGAGAGTATCAATGAAATAGAAAAACCTTTCTAGGTTCTTGAATTTTTCAGGGGATATGAAACTGGAAAGCAATTGAGTATACTAACATTAATAGTTTAAAGGGGAAAGAATGAAATTGGAAAATCCTTTTCAATTTGAGATATGGAGGTAGAGAAACTTGAAAGAAAATGAATTGGAAATTAAAAGGAAAAGAGGAAGAGGATGAGATCTGAAATTGAGAAAAAGGGAAGAAGATGAGATCTGAAATTGAGAAAAAAAGGAAGAAGATGAGATCTGAAATTGAGAAAAAAAGAAGAAGATTAGATCTGAAATCGGGAAAAGAAAAAATTAAGGGAAAGAGAGAGAAAGGGAAGATGGGTTAAAATGAAATTTGTGTTATAGCATAGATCAAGTTATAAAGGAAATGAGTTAAACGGTGGGGGACTTAATTTGACGACACGTAGTAAATTTGGTATTTAAAATTTTTAAAAAACTGGCTAATAAAATATGACGTGTTGTTAGATATGACATTCTATACCCAATTAACCCGTGGCATGAATAAGCCATAGTCATAACGATCATAGCAAAAGTGGTACCTAATTTATCTGCAATAAAGACATCAACAACAAATAAATGAGAAATTGCCAAGAAAAATATATTCCTAAAAAGGAAAAATAACTACAATAAACTAGTGTGCTAATCAAAGTACAAGAGATAAATAGATAGTAAACAAATCGAAGTTTAAGAACTATAGGAGAAATACTAGGGCTACCACTATGGAAGGATATGCAAGAGAATATTCTACTACCTATTAACCTTCTAACCTAATTCTTGTCTTCCACAACCTTCTATCTAAGGTCATGTCTTTGGTAAGCTACGACTGCATCATGTTCTGTCTAATCACCTCTCCCCAATACTTCTTCGGTCTACCTCTATCTATCCTGAAACCATTCATAACCCTTCACACTTTT